CTGCCCTGGCTGCTGTGAAGACAGAGGCAGAGACGAGGAAGGAAGAAGCGATGGCCGCGGGACTCCGGCCCGACTCTGTGCAGATGTCTCCGGCCACCACGTCGGTACTGGAGCAGGTGTTTCAGGTGATGGATTACCTGTACCGCGCCGACCTCAAGTACGTCGATGACTACAGGTGAGTGGGTCTGTACAGGTGGGTGGGTCAGTACAGGTGAGTTGGTCTGTACTGGAGCAGGTGTTTCAGGTGATGGACTACCTGTACCACGCCGACCTCAAGTAGGTCGATGACTACAGGTGAGTGGGTCGGTACGTCGATGACTACAGGTGAGTGGGTCGGTACGTCGATGACTACAGGTGAGTGGGTCGGTACGTCGATGACTACAGGTGAGCGCACCAGACATGCAGATTTCTCCAGTGAGGCTGATGATGGTTGCGTAGAACATGGAACATGAACATGAAAAAACTCTGAGGTCGTGGATAGCTTGTGTGATTTGCCATTCCCCGACGAATGTCTCTTGAAGTTTTTTGTCATTGGTTAACTTGTATCATGGATGTGTCATACATTTGTCATTGGTTAACTTGTATTATGGATGTGTCATACATTTGTCATTGGTTAACTTGTATTATGGACGTGTCGTACATTTGTCAATCCCGGGCATACTTCAGTTATCCGTGTCCTACTCTTTATGAACTTTCTGTTTCTTGCGTCATTGCGTCAACCCTTGTATGATCGATGGCGGTTATTCCAGAAACTTCCTGTCCTGAGTATCGTCTTTTACATGTTTATTCATCCTTTTCTTTTAATTAATTTTTTTCTTTTCCTTTCTTCCTCTCAGAATTTGTTTACATCGTCTGACTGTATGCGTGTCGTGTATTTTCTACGGTGTGTGTGTGCCATTCAGAGCTTATATCTCTTGATAAAAAGTGGAATGCTGGAAACTTTTTTTTTGAGTCTGAATAGGTCAAAATGTCACACAACATACTCCCCTTCTCATCTGTTTTGTGTCGAGCTACTCAGCTTATTACAGCTTTTACAAGTGTATTCACGGAGAGGGCTATTTTTAGACATTTATTCTAGAGCCGTAAGTCCTGGAAGAGACATGTGGCTCATTGTGACCAGCTTGCACACAAGACTTGTCCATCTCACAGCTTGTCCATTTGTTCCTCTCCCCAGAGCGGCGCTGGTCCAGTCGTTCAGCTTCGTTCCCAGCACTCAGGTCACTTTGTTTTCTCTCTGTTTATCTATGTTTATGTCACTGTTTTCTCTCTGTTTATCTAAGTTTGTTTTCTGTTAGTTTATTCAGTTTATGTCAGTTTATTTTCTGTTAGTTTATTCAGTTTATGTCAGTTTATTTTCTGTTAGTTTATTCAGTTTATGTCAGTTTATTTTCTGTTAGTT